AGTTTGTTTCCTGAGATTAAGAATTCCTCGTATCAGTGAGATCACATGATACATATCTTTCTCTGATTGACTTATTTCGCTCAGCATAACACCCTCCAGTTCCATCCACGTCGTTGCAAATGGCAAGATTTCATTCCTTTTGATGGTTGCATAATATTCCATTGTATATATACACCACATCTTCTTTATCCATTCATCTGTCGACAGACATCTTGGCTCTTTCCATAGTTTGGCTATTGTGGACATTGCTGCTATAAACACTGGGGTGCATGTACCCTTTCGGATCCCTACATTTGTATCTTTGGGGTAGATACCCAGGATTTGTAGCCTTTTGTGGTTGGCTTCTTTGAGATTCATCCATTTTGTTGTATATCAGTGGGTTATTCCTTTTTATTTCTGAGTAGTATTTCCATCTATATTTTCAAATGTTCAAAAAAGTACATTTGTTGGATTGTCTCTATGTATATGTAATGAATAGTAATCCATCAACTTTGGATGATCTTCCTGCACTTTGCAGCAAGTGGGAGGTAGTTGGTTCTGCTAGTATGTTCCACATATGACCATGGATGTTCCTGTGTCAGAACAGTTAGCTTCCGACTGGACTACAGGTTTGGGGAGATTTCACAAATGGCTATACTGGCTAGAACTCCAGTAGCAGCTACGTGTGAGCATGACATCAGGATTTTATTTTTTTCTTCAAAAGCCATACTAGCTTATTTGATATTCTTGCAGTTTGCATTTTCTCTTTGGGTGCTGGGTGGGGATCTTAACTTTTATGGGCTATCTGGACAAATACTGAGTAAGGACACAGCTCTTAAGCCTTAAGAGAGATGGCTACTACCCATCTCATAAGTACCTAGTGGTTTCTAGGCCGATCACTTGGAAAGATAAATGTATTTTATGCTGATACAATGAGCAGAAGATGAAGAACATATTTTAGTCTATATATTTTATTCTAATATGCTATCATCTGCTTTTTTGTCTTGCTAAGGCCAAGAAAAGAAGCACAATTCATTAGTTAGATGTACTTGGGAGAATCACATTTATAATGACATGGTATGATAAAAGTGTTTTAAATGATTTTTTATTTTGTTTTGTAGAAATAGTCAGATGCTTGATGAAGATAATATACTGAATGAAACACCAAAATCTTTCTCAGTTCACTCGCCTGATGAGACAACTCGTGCCCCACAACTGGAAAGAAGCACAGAAATAGCTAAGACCCAAACTACTTCTGCAAATAGTGAGGTCAGAAATTTAAGATCTCATCCATCTGTAACATATTCCTTATTTCAAGGAGAGAAAAGACAACTGAAATTGGCCATATCATGACAATATTACTGGCATTGCTGTTTTTAGGTTAAGCTGTACAGACTACCACCCTAGTCCACCATGTCAACTGATAGAGATAATGAATTTCTTTCCTTGAGAAATTTGAATAATTCAGTCCACACTTGCAGATAGGTTTTTTTTTAATGGTAGTTTCCTGCAAAGTAAGTAATTTTACAGTTTCATTAAGGCTGCATGATTATTTTTAGTAATTAATATATAGGTGCCTTTTTAGTGTTTCCTAGGTGAATGTAGAGACCTCAGTAAGCAACAGTCAAACCCTGCACAGAGGAGAAGAATCCTTCCAGCATGGATGTTAACAGAAAATCTCAGTGATCAAAAACTTTCAGCACCAGTCAGCAGCGGGGGTAGGTTTTGTTTTGAAAACATTAAGCAGAATTTGGAAGTTTTTCTGAAGAAATGGAGACAGACTAGTGGTTGTGTAAGTGTATCACTTAGCCTAACATTTTTTTTAGATGTGTGTATGAAGTTTAACCTAAAAATTAAGCTATTATGTTATGTCATTTATCATACACCATCCTGCTAATTACCTTTTGATTTATGTGCTGGACTTATATTAATGTAGATTTTTCAAACATACCTGTTGGTGTCATGTCAGTGATAACAGGTCAGCACAGTAAGAGCTTTCTAAATTAATTTAATTAAATAAAAAACTGCCAGGCACACACTATTACGTGCTAGAGGATTCAAGAGGACCTCTGTCCCAGCACAGCTCACTGTCAAGGCAGATAGCACAGTGATTTATGCCAGCTGTTGGGCATTCCCATTGATTCGAGATTGTGAAAACGTTTACTGCATTGTCTTAGTCTTTTATTTGCAACTTTGTAGCCATCTTGGGTTTAGTTTCTATTGACTGCTTGTTTTCTTTTATATGGGTCACATTTTCCTGTTCTCAAGTTTAGTAACTTTCAATGGGATATTGGATGTTATGAATGATACAGAGATTTTTTTATTTTATGTTCCTCTGAATAAATATTTTTGTTTAATAGCGATTAATTTGGCCTAATGGGCAATCTTCTTCTAATAGGCAACTAATTCAGACCCTGACCTCTATTGCCCCTGTTGTGGTCAGCAGCCACAGCCTCTGCTTAGTTCTAGCAGCTCCTAGCTGCTGCTTGTCCTTGCACGTGTGGCTCAGCAGCCAGTGAAGGACTTGGGTCAGTTTTATATGTAAATTTTAGTTCATGGCCCTCTGAGGCTTCCTTCCTCTCAGTATTTTATCCCTAACTTTCTACTTGCTCTACCAAGCCTCAAAAGTCTGTCCTCTGACCAGTTAAACCAATAAGGCTGCTTTCTGCCACCTGTGGATTGGGAGATGCCCTGGGTTGGTTGGGGGTGGGGAGCCACAAATTCACAAACCTCACAGGTTATACTTAATTTTTTTGGTTCTGCCTTTTTCATCACTCTGCAGTGCCTTCAAACAGTTGTTTTTTTAATATTTTGCCAAAATTTATACTGGTTTTATTTGGGATGATTAATTCAGTCACACTACTCTGCCATTTTACCCCAAGCACAATTGAATATGTACTGTAGTTGAATGTTACTGTTCTCACTGCTTCTCATACTCAGTATAGTGGTCATAGAAGCAGTCTCAAGATTTTGATCCCATATGTTATATACAAAATATTCCTTATTTAATTCTAGTTTGGAATTTAGTAGGATCAGAGTGACCTCTTGGGAAAAGTAGGTTATATATTATATATTGTGAAAGATGTAATCTGGAGAATTTTCATATATAAACCCAAGATTTCCTGGTAAGAGTTTTATTCCAGTACAGTGGTTTTCAAACCTCCACCACCCATCATTACATGTGTAACATTTTTATCAGTAACATTTCTCATTAAGCGATGTAATTTCTCAGTTTGCCGGAAGGAAATGGGGAGTGATGAATGGTCGTGGAGAGGGGGCGGGCACTTTCTCTCAGTAGACCAGTTTCTCTAATATAGGAAGAAGAACTTCAACTGACCAAAAATTGGACCAATGTCAACTGCCTCCCTGCAAGCAAGTCCTTTTCTTTCAGAGTTGTTCTGCGTGGTAGCTGCTTCTGTGCTACCACTATTAGATTGCTTATAATAGTCCAAAATACATTTTGCTTCAAATTAAAAATAACTATTAACTTTTACTAGCCAGATGTACCATGTAAAATATGAAGCACCTTTTGAGTACTTCACCTTAAAAATGCAAAGGATAGCAATTTGCCATTGATTTGGACAAGAATATTATATAATACCTGATGTACTTAAAATGCTAAAGCTTAAAATAAGATAGAAAAATCTTTGGATTCTGGCATGTCTTCTTTCTTATAAGCAGACTTTGGAGGTACTTGTAAGAGCGAACTTAGGTTACTTGATTCCTTTAGAGACTGAAAGAGTTAGAAATACACATAGGACAGTTCAGCGCTTGAATCCAGCTAATTAAAAGTCAAAATAATTTGACTTTTTCTGCCGTGTACTTTATTATTATTGTTGTTGTTGTTTTATTTGTTTAAGTAATAAATCATCCAGGTCAATAGACCAATGTTAGAGATTTTAAAAAACCAATTTCTAGGATGCATTTTGGACTCATTTAGAAGTAGGTTACTTTCTTACGTCTTTTGCAGCTTTAGTACTATACTTTGTTCATTGATATCTATTTAGATTATCTGATTAACTTGATATTTTAGAACCCTTTGTATCATTAGGTACAGAACAGATAACGTGAACTGATGTTAAATGACTTATCTAGGATCGTGTACTAAAGGCCAGAGCCGTAACTGAAGACCTAGATCAGTCTGACTTCAGAGCCCATGCCCTGAGCTGTGACACTATACAGCCACCTAAATTTACCCTTTCTCTGTTGTGGTGTTTTTATTCTTTTCTGTTTTAATATGCCCTTGCATTCTCTCCTAGGTCTTTTCTCGTTTAACTCTTGGCTTCATCCTTAAATGTATCTGAATATTTGCTGTGATCAGGCTGTCCCTTTTGTTTTTCAGCCAATATAGTTCTAGTTTATTTTCTGGGTCCCCAGATACTAGCCATTGGATGTTATCATGAGTTTCTCAGGCCTGGGCTAAAATTTTCTCCATGTCCCTTAGTGATTCGCAAGTGAATATATTTGGGCATGGGCTTTCTGATCTTCTCTTCTCTTCTCTTGGCTTCCAGTCATCTCTGTTCCCTTAGCCTTCTAGGCTCTAGGACAAGTTATAATTCCTGGGCTATGACACTCATGTTAGATTGCAGAAGGAGCTTTTAATTTTTTTTTTTTTAAGACTTTATTTATTTGACAGAGAGAGACACAGCGAGAGAGGGAACACAAGCAGGGGGAGTGGGAGAGGGAGAAGCAGGCTTCC